CATAGAAATGGATACAACTTTTGCACTGGATAAAATTTCATCTCCATCATCTTTTACTTCCAGCACCTCCAGTGTTTATCACCTTGGTTTATAAAAACTCTTTAAAGCCTCTGGTTGAAGTTACCTTTGTTTTTTTTTTGTTTTTTACCTTTTTTTTTTTAAGATCATTTTATTGGGGGCTCTTACAACTCTTGTTACAATGCATAGATCAATTGTATCCGACATATTAGTACATATGTTGCCATCATTCTTTTCTAGACATTTACTTTCTATTGACCCCTTGGGATCAGCTTCTCTTTTTTTCCCCTCCCCTACCCCTCGTTGCTCCTTGATAGATTATTGATTGTTGTTATTTTCATATCTCACACTCACCTCTGTCTCCCTTCCCCTTTGGTTTCTGTGGTTCTTCCCCCTGGGTGGGGTGGAGGGGTGTGGTCATGTGCCATTCATTGTGATTGGAAGTTGCTTCTAATTCTTGGAATCACCACAGTGGTGACAAATTACCATCTTTGGTGGTGAATTTGGTTCTTTAAAGACCTGTTAAAAAACAAACAAACAACTAAACCTGTTAAAATATTTTTCTTTCCTTTTTTTCTCCCTGTGTAAATTCAGTTTTTAATTTTCATTGTGCACATATCTGATAAGCCATATCTGCCCTTACCAAAGAGGATCAACCTGGAGCACTTTTAAGTAACATGTTGGATATGATTAAAAAATAGCATTAACTTTTAATAGCAACACTCACTTCAACTGATACACATTGTTAAGCTTCATTGTGAACTAAGTGGGAATTTAGGTTTCACATAATCATTTGGTGTTCAACCACTTGCCCCGTCTGCACGCCTGCCTCCTCACTTTTTCCTTTTGTTCTTTTTCTGTTCCCCTTTGAAGGCTGTTCCCCTCACCCATGTTACCATCTGTCTACTCTCCAGCCCAGCGGTTCTCAACCTGTGCGTCCCGACCCCTTTGGGGGTCAAACAACCCTTTCACAGGGGCGGCCTAAGACCATTGGAAAACACATATATCGGATGGTCTTAACAACCGAGACACCGCTCCTCTATCTGCCTCCAGGCAAGTCCGCCCACAGGCAGATAGGCCCACATCCGAGTACCCAGCGTGAAAACTGTTACCCGTGGCACACCATGCTTCAAGACAAAATTTTGTTTATTTGTAATTGGAAATAAATATTTTACAATATATAATTACATATTATTTTGTGATTAATCACTATGTTTTACTTATGTTCAATTTGTAACAATGAAAATACATCCTGCATATCAGATATTTACATGACGATTCATCACAGTAGCAATATGACATTATGAAGTAGCAAAAAAAATAATTTTCTGGTTGGGGGGTCACCACAACCTGAGGAACTCTATGAAAGGGTCACGGCATGAGGAAGGTTGAGAACACTGCCCTAGCCTATTGCTTTCACGTTCCTCCTTCCCCGCCCTGGTAACCATCAAAGACCATTTTGTGTTTTGCTTTGTTTTGTTTTTTGGTAACAGTGGTCTCGCGTTATTTGACCTTTTGTGCCTGACTAACTTCATTCAGATCCCTCTGTGTCATGAGATGTTTCATGGTTTCATTGTTGAGCCTCCAGTGATGTGTAGTCCTCCATTGTGCGTACATATTGAAGTTTCCTTACTCATTCTTCCATTGAGGGGCATTTAAACTCTGTCTTGTTGCTATAGTGAATATTTCGGTCATGAACAGGAGTGTGCATATGTCTGCTTGTGGTTTGCTGCTGGTTTCTTTAGGGTATATGCCGAGGGAGTACCAGGGTTGCTGGGTCATACAGTGTTTCTGTTCCTAGGCCAATCAGCACATTATTTAAAATTTGGCATTGTACCACACAGTGGATCCTTTTCTTTTAGAAACATGCTCCTGTCACGTTGGACGTAGCTGTAATATGATGTGGAAGCTAGCTAGCTCAGGGCATAAGGTGTCTGCCGTTCTCCGTGTGCTCTGTATTCACAGATGCCCAGTGAGAGCATGGCGTTGCACGGGGCACCAGGAGACGTGAGCCCTGGAGACGCACTTCTTGTTCTCAGGACTCTGTCATCTGAAAAGAAACTCGGTACTGATGCGGAGGAGCCTAGGACATATCTAGCTTGAGTGTTGTGCTCACGCATGTCAACAATGGCTTTCAACTAAGATGGCTTTTTTCTTTGAAAAATGTTTATAGTGAATTTTGTGGAGATTCGTAAAGCAGATAATCGGTTTTACATTAAACTTTTTGCCCTTAGACTTTTTATTGTGAATTCGGTGGGGTTTATATAGATCGTTTTTCCATTCCATGACATATACAGATTATGAAATCCCGCAGTGCCTTGTCTGCCCCCACCCCCTTTTCCCGTCACCCTCTCGTATACTTCCTCTTCTCTCATGTTAACGCCCGTCTACCCTGTAGGTTCCCAGAGGACTGATCTTTGGAATCACCGGGCAGTCTCCATTACAACCTAATGGATCAGAATCTCTAGGGGGAGGAGCCTCAGATCTGCAGCTGCACCAGGTCCTCGGGTGATTCCCACGATTGGGCAACTGAGAACCTTGGCTTTACAGACTAGCGTGACTAGAGATGACTAGAGTCTAGTCTATTGTTGCCCCTCTCACCACTCTTAACCATCAAAGATGGTTTCTTCTGGTAGGAAACCTTTTTCTTATTTTTAATAACAATGACCTCATATAACATTTTTCTTTTTGTGTTCGACTAACTTTATACTCTATTCAGATCAACTTAAAAAAATTGTATATTGTCTGAAGTACGAATTGAAACTCTTTAAGATATTTACATAGGAAACAATGAATGTCATGTATTAACATGCCATAATTGCAACTGTAACCAGAAATTTAATAGACACTCCCAGTTGTAGTAGTAACCACACTAACTGCAATGATCTTTTTGACAACCTATTACATAATGGGCTCTCTAGATGCAGCCTCTCTGATGTATGTTGCTCTGCAAAGCAGAGACTGTTGTCCTTGGTTTACAGACTTGGAAATTGAGGCTGGGAAGGAAATTACTTGACAAAGACTTCACTACAATTACATAGCAGAGGCGGGGTCAAAGCCTGTTTATTTTAAGTCTATCACATACGCCATCTTTCCATGCTTTTAAACTTCCCTGACAAGTGACCAGGCAGATAAAACCATTTTAAAACAGAAAATTACCAAGCTGCACCATGTTGGGTTTAATCTGTAAGGTTTGGTTTTTGAAGTTGTTTTTACTACGTATTCCTTCTTTGCTATTTTTATTTGTTGACAACTGGTTTCTTGTTACCAAGGAAGCTGTCTGAATTTATGTGATTGTTCCTTCCTCCTCTCTCTCCATAACACAACTCCCCCATCCTTTATTTTGGATGACTTGAGGTTTCTGTCTCTTCAGATAATTCACCCGACAGTGTAATCGCAGAAGCATTAATATTCCTTTCTTCTCTGAATTACTTAACATTTAAGTTTCAAGGGATGAACGTGAAGGGAGGTCTCTTTTATCAGTGGTGTCTCCTTGCGGCCATGTGTTCGTCACAGGAAACGAGCGCTCTGCCTGGTAGAAGCAGCGTGTTTTTACGGGGGCGCCTTAGTTTATGTGACCAGTGCAGAGCCTTGATTATAAAGCACTTCTGCAAAGGGAAAGAAAGCAGAAACGGCTACCCTGAGGTTGCTGATCCTGAAATAATATAACATTTAAAAAGAAATGTAAAACCTTGCTTTGAATGGCTTCCTCTTGCAAGGAGGAGTCACTTTGCTGGCCATGTTCCATTTATTAAATTATATGGCTATCCAGGATTTGGTGAACTGGCATGTGGGCAAGGTTTCAACTCTGTTCGCTGGTGCCATATACCCTTGGTCTATCTATATGAAGACGTGCTAATTGGGCAGAGGATATCTTTCATCTTATTTAACACAGCCACACCCTTACTAGGGGGCAAGTTGATCCTCTTTTAGAAATGAAATTCAGGGTTTTAGAAATGAAACATGGATGGATTTACCCCAGGAAACAGGGCAGGTAAGTGATAGGATTTTGAAACAAGGTTTTTGTCTCTGTGGTGCCCTTTGAGAAATATGAAGATTTGAGTCACCTCGTCACATCTTCTCTGTTCTATAAGTTTTAAACAATTTGAGAAATAGGGCATGTGGATTCAATGGAATCACATAGATCACAGTTTAATTACTTTTGAAACAGGGTTGAAGATCTCAGAAATGCCACATACCTCCTTTCCGGAAACTAAAGTCTGGATTTGACTCAAGCAGATCTGACTTAGTCATCCAGTAACACCGAGAGAGAAATGGAACAGGGAAAACTAAGTCTTGCAGGAGCAGACAGCCCTGGTCCTTCTTCCAGAAAACCCACGCTCAAATGTCGACCGTCTAGACCATGGTAGAGCACCCCCTGCGGGTTTCCAAAGCTAACTCTTTATGAGAGTAAAAAGCCTTGTCTCTCTCCTTTGGAGATAGGTGCAGGTGGTTTTGAACTGCTGACCTTGTGTGGTTAGCAGCCCAACGTGTAACTCCTAGGCCACTAGGGCTCCTACGGTCCTGCTTACTGAGTGGAAATTAGCTGATTCCAGGTGTTAGCAGGAACTAGAGGGAACCCCTTGTTACCTGGTTCAATGCAGTGGCTAATACCAAACCCTGCGAGTTTTCTAGTCCTACCAATGCACATGAGTCATTCACGTTTGGAGAGAAGTGAGGAAAGAGAAAACGGGTTTCTTCATACTGCCCTTCCTAGGCAATAAACTAAAAATCTCTTCTGAAAACAGAGGAGAGGATGTCTCAACAGTAAAGATACACTGCTATTCTTAAGTTCTTTTTCTCTTGTGAGATCTTCTTGTATGATGTTATTGTCTTCTCCTATGTTTTTAGAGAAAAAGGAAGAGATGATTATCTTGTTCTCTGTGTGTTGGGGCATGAAGGGGGGGGAAGGACAATCATTGGAACCCAATAGACGGCCTTTCTTAGCACGTAACTAATAGTATTTTTTCTGTTTGTGGCAGATGATGGACATGTACTGGAACAAGGGGAGAAGCCAGTAGCTTGTAGGAAGCCAAGATGACAAGAATTTTGTAATCAGTAAGTAATTTTTTGTTATTGTTGTTAGCCCTTTGGATTCTTTTCATTGCTGAGTGAATTTTCTCTGAGCAACTGTGGTAAAAGGACAGGACCTTATTCAAATAACTTAAAAGTAAAAGAGAAAATAGATATACATACACTTCACACAACTGGTTTTACGATTTGAGGAACTTTGTTTATGCAATTATTTTAATTTCAATTTTTAATCTTGGTGAGATGTATCATTTTGAGGATGCGTCAATTTGGGGGTGAGAGTGAAAATATTTAAAGAATTAAAAGGGATCTGCACACATGGTCAGTTTTTCATTTTTTAATGGCAAGGGCTTTTCTCAAGTGCAGAAATCCTTGGTCCTGCTGGTCCCCCGTGGACCTCATTTCTCATTCACATATCTTTTGTAGACCTACTGGAGACGAAGATGATCAAACTGGTGAATATGAATACACTTGGGCTCTTTGTCTATACTTTCTTCATATCCCACGGTGTGTATGCCGTTTTCACATCTTAGAAGCCGTTAATGTTTGCTAGCTCTCTGACAGTTACCTGTGGTTGGCCTAGGTTTCATTATGATAACACTGCTAGTTCTGCCTGGGGTATCTTAGTGGGAAGATGGCACAATTTTGAGTCAGCCCTAGGCCTGACCCTTGCTCTTGTGCTTTTTAGTATTTATGCATGACCTCAAAGCCTCAGGTGACTCATCTTTGTGTGGGGGATGGATCAGAGTGATCAGTGCTGTTTGGATGTCCCTACTTTCCGACCTTTGAATTTTGATGGGCAATTCACAGGCCTCTATTTGGACTCAAACGATAGGCCAGGCTGCTGTGAAGCAGAGGTGTGAAACCACTGAAGGTAGTGATGTGCAGGTGAATGTCAATAAGGGTATGCTTGGGGAGGAGGGTGGATTTCTGCATGTCGGTTTCAAGCTGAAATGTCATCAAACAAAGTTGCAAAGAAGTATGCAGCTTTCTATCTCATGGGTATAATAATTATAGATAAAATCAAGTGTACAAATAATAGTAGAATATTCAGGAAGTCACAAGGTTTGACCATTTGTACCTTTGTTTTACATTTTTAATCATAGCTGTGTCTAACAACTGGCTTACAAAACTTCTGCAAATTGAAGGGTCAGCTCTATTGAGCCTGTGTGGGCCAGCTCCAGGATACCACTGATTGTAGGGTTCCTGTTGTACAGATGTTGTAAGCCACGTTCTTCAATTATCTGTCTCAGCCCCACTGGTAAGGTTTGGTTGGCTTGATAAATGCCAGGCTTGCTTGGTTTTCAATCCATCCGTGTTTGTTAACTCAAGTTCTCACCCTTATATAAGTTCTGCAATTGAAGATAAGGGCTGAGACCAACTTAGAATCTAAATAGGCTTTATTAGGAGTGTGATTAGAGTTTTGAAGTTGTTGACTCAGCCTTGTAACTGACCTTGGCACGCCTCGCCCTCCTCTAGCTGTTTGAGTGGTATGTTTAGAGGTAGGTCAGACTCTTCATTCCTGAGATAGTTTATTGTGCTAGCCTGGCCGATAAACACAAGTGGGATTAACTGAAGGGCAGTGAGATAAATTTTGGTACCAGGAGTGCTTCTAGAGAAATAAAATCATAAATATGGGTTTCTTAAATTGGCTCTCCAGCCTGATTAGTCTTAACACTAGTGATGCTACTTCAACATCCCAAAGCATGGATAAGTCTGCTACTCCTCCTTATCCACGGTGTGAAATAGCAAAAATAATACCTAAAGTAGCACCACCGATAGATGAGGTGCTGGTTAAAGGAGAGGCTCTGCGTGATCGTATATTTGATATTTTCCAGGAGTTTTGTAAGGATGACAAGTATAGGGAAGCTGGTTGGCTGGTCCTTCTTACAATGGACAGTATGATTAAGGAAAGGGATGGTCTCAGAGCCTCAAAATTGCACTTTAAGTGCAGACTATATGGTGCTGTGTCTCCAATAGCCAGAATTCATGGGTCCAGGAACCAAGGGGTGGAAGCTGCAGTGGCACCACTCACTATTACTCCTAGTGGTCCACTTGCAGCATTTTTGCTTCCTGTCCCAGCAACCCTGTGTTCCTCAGGCCTGGAGGTCTTGGTCCCGAATGAAGGAACTCTCCCACCTGGAAACACAGCACGGATTCTACTGAACTGGCAGCTGAAAATGCGTCCTGGCCACTTTGGGCTTCTTATGCCTTTGGATCAATAGGTCAGGAAGGGTGTCACTGTACTGAGTGGTGTGAGTGATCCTGATTACCAAGGAGAAATTGGACTGGTGTTACATAATGGAGGTAAAGAAGAATATGTCTGGAATCCAGGAGATCCCATAGGCCTACTCTTAGTGCTACCATGCCCTGTGATTAAAGTAAATGGTAAATTACAACAACCCAATACTGACAGGACTTATAATGACCCAAGCCCCTCAGGAATGAAGGTCTGGATCACCCCACCAGGTAAAAAACAACAGCCAGCTGAGGTGCTTGCTGAGGGCAAAGGTAATACAGAATGGGTAGTAGTAGAAGGTAGTTCTACCTATCAATTACGACCACGTGATCAATTGCAAAAGCGAGGTTTGTAATTGTCAATGTATTTTCTTTTTATGTGTTTATTGCATATCTTTCCTTCATTCAGGTATGATATATCAGATATAATTGGACTGTGTTTTCATTTATATGTATAAGAGATGATTGATGATAAGTATAAGTGTGATTTCATCAATGTCCGTAAATTATATATGTATATATGGCTAAAGAATTGTGTACAGGTGCCAGATTGTCAAGGGGTGGATTGAGATAGTTTATTGTGCCAGCCTGGCCGATAAACACAAGTGGGATTAACTGAAGGGCAGAGAGATAAATGGCTTGGTGAGTCTTGCCTTTCTTGTCTCTTGCTCTTTGATCATTGGACCAGTGTGCGGCTGCCTTGCTTGTCCTGTGCCTCAATTTAAAGGCTACACTACCTGTGGGATGCCTAGCCTGTGGACTATGTCGCTGTAAGTTGAGGTCCCTTTAAGACGTCTCTGGAGCTGGGGACTGGCAGTTGGTGACCTGGCTGGCAGTTGGTGACCTGCCTTGTGATTGGCTGCTGTGCTGACATAGCCTAGCTCTCTATAAACAGAGGAAGATCTGGCAGCAGACTAGACTAGAAGGACTGCTAGTCTCTCACAACTCTCTCTCACGGGAGTGAGTTGTATTGAGCCATTTGTAGTGCTTTATAATTTAACTGTTTATTTCTTGTATTATATATTTATCTGTATATGATTCAACAGTTCATTTCTTGTTCTATATCTAATTATCTTTACAAATAAATATATTAAATTATTAGCAATTTGGTTTTATCTCTCTAGAGAACCCTAACACATTTCCCTTTCATACTTCTCTTCCTTCCTGGGCTCGCTCTATCCTAACCCCCTTCATGTAGTCTCATGGACAGGACAGACAGCCAGGGGCCCTTCTACTTAGCTCTGCATTCAGTTTTATTTTTACAGTGAACTTTCAATGAAAAATGAATTGCCTCCAGAGAGGTTAAAACAACAGCAAGAAGACAGGGCAGTTGAAAGTTCAGACTGGCTTGAATGAAGTTTTAGGGAGTAAAACGGAGGAAAGAAAAGAACCTGGGTCAGATACCTCAGTGTTCTTCCAGAAACAGTTTCTTCTTCAGTTTCCTAGCTTGCCCTTTACAATGGAACAATTGAAGCCCCAAATTGCTAAGTAGCAGCTGAGATTGTGGTGGTTTTTATTTTAAAGTCTCACCCACCTAGTTCTCAAAACACATTCTTTATTGAACATTAAAAAAAAAAAAGCCTGGCTATTTCAAAACACTAGTCTGTGTTAATTCTCTCCTAGCTGAATCAGGTTTATGTAATTTTGAAGCATTTATTTTCCTTGTTTTCTCTGGGGGAAAAAAGGTATTTGTAGTCCCTACTGAGCCAAGAATAGCTTTGGATTATTTCAAAAATGATTATTTTTCATTTAAAGAGGAAGTGCATGGGTAGAAGTCTGAGAGACTTGAGTCTGGATTAAGAAACATTGACACATGGCTTAAATTGAGTAAGGGATGCCTTTGGTAACTTTGAAAGCAAACATGGAAGTAACAATTATACAGGGGAACTTCATCATAGATAAAACGTTCTGTAATATTTCTCCCAGAGTGCACCTTGATGGTTTTCCAGAACATTCCCTGCACCAATAAATTTTGGATTAGAGAGTTGCTGAGGGGTATCCTCTCGAAATCCATAGCAGTCACAGCCTTGCATTAGGTTTGGATCAGCAAACTGGATGGTTTGTGGGTTATTTGGGAGAGCTAAGTTGTGAAGATGAAGCCCACTGCGAGCAAGACAAACTGACACCCTTCAGGTGTTGATAATTGATTCTGGACAGAGCTGTGATTTCCAACCAAATGTGGTATATGTTATAAAAGATACACAGAATATTTTGGAAACAGTAGATTGAGAGAAGCTCACTGGTGGTGAAAGAGCAGGTACCATTTAAGTTATTGTTTAATGGCCAATTACTCTTAAAATTTTAATTATAAAAGTTAGCACTGATTGGAAAGAATTATAGAAATGTAAAAATTATTAAGAATAGAAAATGCCGCAGTAGTACTGGGCGATAACCACTATTAACATTGTCCATGGTGTTCTATCGTATTATAGTCTGTATGCTTTCAGGTTGGTTGCTTCCACCTTTCATTCTTGTAAAGCACACAGATGCGCATGTTTGTGCATCCATCGTGTTGTGCAGTTATTTGTTCAAGATATTTGAACAGTTAGAGGCCAGTGCTTAGGGAACACCCTAGCTAGAAGAAAGAGTTTGCGCAAAGGAGCAGAAGTGGGGAGAGAAGAGTAGAGCTGTAGGTTCACCAGGATGCAGCGCACGAAGGCGAGTAGCACTCACTTGGGCTGGAGGCAGAAGATGCCGTTCTGTTTGCACTAGGCTTGCCATCTGCACCGCCCTTCAAGTGAGTAACTTTGAGTAGCTTCAGTTGTTCGTAATTTACCTTATTTGGGAAA